AGGATAATAAACTGTTCTGGGCGATTTGCTATTAATAATAGCCTCATTATATTTGGCTACTACTCAGAAATATGCACCAGCCCGGATACATGACGAAAAATTTCCGCCACCTTGAGTGCCGTATTTCGCGCCATTTATGCACATGCCTGTGACGGGCACAGGCCGACAGTGGATTTTGGTGGCCGAGCTGGAAGTAGGGGTCATATGGACCCACCTAGGCAGTGAGCGGCAGTGAGCCACTCCTGTTGGCACCGCGGGGTGCAGTTTCCTGATCCATGCCTCCCCTTTCAATCATCCGTACCGCCCAATACATACCAATACATATCAAATTACCGGACACACACTGCAGTTGGTGAAACCAAGTCGATTCGGATGCAGGATGACTCAATCCCGAGATTGGTTTGGCTAAACTCTCACCCGCCCACCCCTCTCCCTTTCCGAACCTTTCACCTTCTCTCTCTTTTCCTCTTGGCCAGTCGAACGCCTGTCGGACTCAGGGTAGGCCACCCGCCTCGGCGCGCTGTGCTGCACGACACGACGTTGCCTACCGACCAGGCGTTATCTCCGCCTCAAAACAAAACCCTCGGAGACCGCACGGCACGTCTTTGCGATCCCACCCCGCCCTCCCATCCCACGAGGGCTGATGGTCGGCTGCAGGCTGCAGAGGCAGCCGCGAACGTCGGCGTGGACGCGGAGCAGGCATTCTTCGTCCTGTTGGACGAGCTGCTCGGTATGGAGGGGGAGCCGGCGCGAAAGCTCCTGTGGTGCGCCCTGCGGCTGCTGGACTGCTGCGGCCCCGCGGCTCTGGACATGGGAGGTCGTGCCTCGCGGGAGGTCGATCATGGACGCCACCGCCGCGGCCGCGTTCGGTCATGTCCAGGTCATGTCGGCCTGGTGCGGGACCTGCTCGCCCGCGGGGCGGATACCCGCTGCGCCGTGACGACACGTCCCGCACCGCCCTGCACGCACCAGGTGAGGTCTGCGGGGGTCATAGACGCCCTGATGAAGTACATCACCGCCGGACTCTCCCTGCGGACAGGACTGGGCGAGGCGATCCCACCTCTCCATGTCGCGGCCGTGGAGCCGTGGAAGCACTCATCGCGCACGGCGTCGATGTGGACGCGTTTGCCAAAAGCAGTAACCTTAAGCAAGTGCCGTTGATCACGGCTGCCGCGCTTGGCCACACTCGGGTGGTGAAGCGTCTGCTCGAGCACGGCGCCAACCAGATCCTCGATCACACAGGCGACACGCCTGTGGCGGTATTTCTACCTCCACTGTAGAACTGTTTAGTTTACTATTAATTCATTTACTGTAGACTTATCAGCTATTTGATTATTCGCTGCTTGAGTGTTAAATAATAATGTATAAATTCACCAGCCTGCTGTGCCATGCATTGTTAATCTATTTAGGCACACGATTTGGTCCCTTTTAAAATTTATCAAGCAAGCAGGTTGTACCAACCTCGCTGCATTTAAATAACGCAGGCAATGTCACATGTTGGACTTTCCCTGCGTCGCCCCTACGGCTTGACTGTTCACACACATGTCTCTAACACACTCACAGTTGCAGCATCACAGCTTCTGTCGCGTTGATTTGCACTTGCACAACCGCGACGCTACCCTACACACACAGCAGCACATGTGTATGTGTGTGTGTGTCAGGGAGAAACAGAGTTCTCCCTTCTTTCTGCGAGCTGCACTGCACGTGTATCGCAGAGCCACCCTCGCCAACCTGCATGCAGAGGGAGGAAGGTCGACAAACCTCCTTACTCCAGCTCTGCTGCTGCAGCCCGACGAGAGGCAACCCATCTCGCACCCTCGAGGACAGGAGGGGAGCACCTCACCCTCCGCGCTGCGCCTCGGACGCCATAGGACCCCTGCGGTGCCTGCTCGCGGTCGCACCCCTCTCGGCCGCAAGGCTCACGGCGCACCCCTCTCGGCTGCAACCCTGCTCGCCCTGCTCGGCCTCCACCCTCGCAGTGGCCAGCAGATAAAAGCGCCCCTGCGCTTGGATCGACACTCAGTCCGACTCCAGCTACACGACGACGAGCACCTCTGCACCAGCCAGCTTGCCGCTCTCCATCGCCTCAGCCGCTGGCCCTGCTCCTGCTCCTCGCCTGCACTCTACCGCTGGACGCCACGCGACGCCACGCCGCATCTTTCTCCGTTCAACTGACGTCACTCCACTAAGTACTCACTATCGAGAGCCGCTGTTTAACTTTACTACTGTTGCGCTACAGCGTGCTCAGAATATTCAAGAAACTACCATTGTTATTCAAATCTGGAAATATAGATAGTTAATATTTCTGTACCAACGGTTCTACTACTCTCCCGTTGTATTCTCTTTAAAGACACCAAACACACCTACACGCCCACCTTGGACACGCCGCTGATCGTCGCCGGCGCACCGGGGTCGGAAGCTCGTTGTGGAGGCTCCTCCTGCCTAACCTCGCACGCGCCCAAGGACGACCGAGAAAGCGAACGACTGTAGGAAGTCTTGAGGCATCTGGATGAACATGGCATGACGGTATTGCATTTGGCAGCCGCTCTGTCGTGAAGCACCTGCGGTCCGGGACCGACTCGGGCCTACCTGGCAGGAAGCAAAAAGAGGTGTGCAAGAAGAAGGTGCCAGGGTGCGTCAAATCGCACCCAACCTAGCTCATCCACCCATCCATCCATCCCTCCATCCAACCGAACTGAACGGAAACCGAACCGCTGCGAGCTGCTTTTCCGTAGGTAACGTGGATCCTGAGCACAGAAACTGTGTTTTCTGGTACTAAACAATCGCTGTGCTGACAAAATCAAGCATTCCGCGAGAAGCTCGCCCTCGGTGTGGGTATATGGAGGGATGGATGGATGGATGGGTGGATGAGCTAAGGTTGGGTGCGATTTGACGCACCCCCGGTGTGTCCACACGAGCCCCGATCGCACCTGGACAAAAAAAGGCGGGGGTACTTCCCTCATCCCACCGCAGACGTTGGCGACTTCTGTGATCGTAATGGGATCAGCCGCTTCCAATAATCACAGTGGTCAGAACATACTCCCGGGGGTTTGTGAGACGGTCGACGCGTACGTTAGTTAAACTGTACTGACCCACCACAGGTCATGGAGCCCCTTTAAAGCCAGATACCCAGGTTTTCTAAACGCACCTGCCACCACAGCAAGCTGCTCCCACGGCCTGCTTTCGCCGAGAGTCAAACCCCGGCCCAAAGCCGAGGCATTGTCAGCTTCGACGCAGTGACACCAGGATGGTAACCGCTAGACCGTAGGAACTCCACGAGGGGGCCTGGTGAATTCACGGATTTCAAGTCGCATTTGAAATTTGGTGTCCTGAGAAACATTTCAGATTGACGGAGATTCGACTGACCTCCCGAAGCTTTGGGCGGACGCGCTGCCGACAGAGCCATAGATAGAGGCGACAAATATACCTAGCTGTGCGTTGGGAAGTGCAGGGAACAACATATCAAAGGATGACGATAACTTTATTGGGTTCCTCTGGTGAGAGGTGAGCCGAGGCTTAGTCGCTGTGCCCCAAGGTATCGCTCTACCCGCCAGGGGCGTTAGCATTTACGACTCCTAGTGGACTTATTTCTACAATCGGTTCGGTTCTCATGAAGCTGTCTGTGGCCGTTTCGGTTGTAGAACTCTGTGGCTACAACTGTGTGGTTACAAACAGGGACATCTCAGGCGTCCGGTTCGGTGCGTGAGCATACGGATTGTTATACACGTTATATACGGCTGTCATGTGCGGCATCCGGAAAAGAAGCTGAAAGCGGCAAAAAAAGCTAATTGAAATAAGTCGGAGTCATTTCAATTAAGTCTATGTGATTGCAACAATTGATTGTGCTGTCAAAGAGTCGGGGTGTGCCCCACAATTTGGACCTCTCCTGAAGGGGGACCTCCTGACTGACCCTCAAAAAATATGACAATTTATTTTAATACTGTAATTGTATTTATTTTCTCATACTCTATGTTTCAGTGTACAAATAATAATACATTGTATTTATAGTTCTAATTATACATGCATTTTTAATTACAATTTGGTTTTTGACTATGACAAGCAATGTTGTTGAAGATTTGCTTGTTAAATCTGTAGTTTATTCACTTCTTTCGGTGACGATTTGCTTACAGAAGTGTTAAGTGGCTAGTTTGGTCTTGCTCAGTAACAATTTTATAATAGGAATCCACGGAGACTCTCATCCTGGTCTCATTTATTGTAGGAATTGTTAACAATATTCTGTGTTCTGTGGGACAAAAGATGAGGTGTGTTTGTTTGATAGGGGAGAAGTGTTTTACTAGATTACAATTATTTTTTAAGTTACAAGAACTGGTTCATCAGATCTGTGGGGCTCCTCATACAAGTTAGACTAAGCCAGCAAACTAAAGCAATTTTTAAACTTTGACTCGACACTTGGTACATTTTTTATCTGTGTGAATTGAAATTTTAGACATAACCCTGACAACAATTTCTGCTTAATCTAAAATCTAATTTTTGGTCAAGGAACCATGAAACAAACTATTTAGCAGAAAATCACAAGCAAGTATGAGAGGGCATAAAAATTATATGTTACAATTGTAGATCAAGGTTTGACTAACTCCTATGAAACCTGTAATTAAAAAAAATAAAAATAGAATACAAGAGAAACTGTTGTTGCTTGACCGTCATATTAAAATTATGGATGAACTACAGACTGTTATTCAAAAGATTTTATGGTTGCAGAAAAAAATTTAGTTTTGATCAAGTGCCAGTAGATGTTTAGGCAGAAATTACAATGATAATTTCCATAACAAATCAATATAAAATAAATCACATATAAAAAACAAATTACAACATGTATATGTATACCCAATAAATATGCTGAAACCATGGCGCAAATAATGGCAAGTTACAAAATCAAATGTATGAGTTTAAGAAGTCCATGCTCTTGATTTCTACCATTTCAATGTGCAATAGTTTATCCTATATGGCTTTTTAACATTGAAACCCCTTGGAGGAAAAATGTGTTTCGCTGCTAATTTTCTTCCCACTTTGAAAAAATAAATAAGATTGGACCTCATAAGACTAGCAACATTATCAAGAATGGATTGCATAGCACATTTATGAATGCACAAGCAAAATACCACTGTGACAACAATAACAACAAACACAATATGAAACTATGCAATGACATAGTGCTAAAGTATCACTAATGTGTAAAATAGTATGAAGTCAATCTACATTATAGAACTTTAAGATAAAACTGTACCATTCTTAATTGCACACATTCAACAATCATTCATTCACTCTTTCATTCCCAACAGGTCAGTCAATAATTCACGTAACACTCCAAATCAAAGCACCCAAGTCAATTAGATTACAATAATATATACAAGAGCATACTAAAGCAGGAAACTATTTAACAATAGTTGGGCGCAGAACAGTTAAAGGAGAATGAGACTGGTTGAGATTACTTTTAAGACAATTCTTTATAGCACCGAACACCTTAACAACGTCCTCAGAATGTTCTATTGGTTATCTGAATGTTGAGGTAACATTTTAAGAATGATCTGTGCTACGAGGTATATCTTTACAGAAGGGATCGTCCAGAAAGTAGGTCCGTTATTCTGAGATTTATACGGCAAATTACGGGAGCTCGACGCCTGCAAGACTCCGGGTAGGCCACCCCGCAGTTCACGCATGCACTGCAGGCAAGATGTTGCCTACCCATCAGGCGCTATGAGAGCTTGCAGGGGCTGAACTTTACAGGTGCGTAACGCCAAATGACGCACGCACATTCTGGACGATCCCTCAGTTTACAAAACCTCAACCAAAAAAACTCAGTAAATCCATCAACCATTAATTCCACTTTTGGTAAAATACTGACAATATCTACAATAGTACATACAAGATACTTACAAGTCATATAAGTAAATACCAAACAGTGGTAACTTTTAAAAAATTCTCTCATTAGGCATACAAGAAGTTTTAGCTATGTAAAAAAAGAAAAAGTTTTTGTTTTTAATTTACTGTAATTAAGAAAAGAAAACACAATAACTGTTAAGACCAATGAGAGTGTTTTTCTTTAAAAGAGGAGACTAACAAAATGTTTACGTATAAACAATATAGGCACTTTAAGACATAGAATAAAACAAATCTCAGAAGCTGGCATTTAAGTTGTCACATATCCAAACTAGCATATTTAATAAAAATTTTATATGCCAGTGGTGGTTTAATGAGAATGACCAACATTTTAGTCAGCAAACAATGTCCATAATGCTATCACAGTGTAGGAGCCATCGGTCATTTGAGGCTTGGAATCTGTTAAATCGGTGAACAGTCAAACCAGTCCGGCAAGGGAAGGACGTCATTATGGAGATAGATGTTTAATGATTAGTTTAGCCTTATAAATGGCGTTGATCGGAAAGAAACCAAGGTTGCATTCCTGTAGCCTAACGGCAGTCTATTATATCTATGTATTTCTGTTATATAGTACACTATATACAAAAATAAATACATTGTAGTGCTAATGAGATTCACTGCACATCAAACGCCTTCATTATGGACTTCCCTGCGACAACAAGCTGCATACCAAAGAGTTCGATGCATTTCTCAGAAATATCTTAAATATCTATCCCCTTTTCGATTCATTCTGGTTAAAGTTAAAGTAAGTTCGGAATATCATCCACCTCTCCGGGGAGTGTACAGAAAGAGAGATCCAGGAGTAAAAATAACGTAAACTATACCGAGGATGGAAAGGGGTCGATGCCCCAGCAGGTGACGTCGATGCGCTGCTCATCCTTGCACTACTTCTTGTCCACTTGACCACTTCACTAGTTTACACGTCGGGCCACGTCACTTCGGGCCCACCCAGTGAGAAATGAATGTCAAGACGATGTCAAAGCGAAACCGCTACGGCGTCGACACTGCCTTTGGCAGCATCCCTCCGATATCGTTTCGGCATCGTTCCGATATCCCATTTCACACCGGGCACACTGCCCCGCCGCGCCGCGTTGACTAAAAGAGGCACGGCGGGGCGCGTAGTCACAGCACAGGGGAGGGTGGGGGTGGGGGGAGGGGGACCTATCACAGAGCCTGGCCGGCCAGGGCGGTGCGGGAGACGGCAGCAGCGCGCTCATCTCTGGACTCGCGCCGCGAGCAGCGCCAGCAGCAGCGCCACCCAGGTCGCCGTCCAGGAGGCGGCGTGGGCCGCCGCGCCGCTGTTGAGCCGCGACTGCTCCTGCGCGCCGATGGCGTTCAGGCTGTTGTCGTCGTCGGCCAGCACGGCGTTGTCGCGCGCCGCGCTCTCGTCGTCCAGGAACGTCTCGTTGGCGTCGCCCGTCGCCTCGTCGCCGGGCTTCTTCTTGCGGTGCGGCCGCCGCCGGTGGCACGTGGCCTCGGGCCGCCACGACCGCGTGATGTTGGGGTAGGTCGCCTCCGTCTCCTCGGTGCCCTGCGGACAAGAGAGGCGGGGCGGTCAGAGCCAGGCAGTGCAGGGAGGGCAGGGGTGTGACGGCCACGCCGCAGAGCGCCCGTGTCACGGGGCGTGGCGGGGCGGGGCGGGGCGGGGCGTGGCGTGGCG